TGCGGGCGGCGGGCGCGCTGGCCGCGCTGCCCGTGCCCGCGCTCCCCCTGCACATACAACACAACGGAGACTATTCAGCTGTACCCAGTAAGTACATAAACATTTCACACCACAAAAACTACTTTCGAGATTACATTTTGTAGCTACACATTTAAATGATTGCAATTTTTCTACAGATATAACGAAATTTGATGACCATTTCGAGTTGGTAGGCGGTATAAATTATCCGAAGAAAATTTCCTGTCGTAGTTCAGATGGAAAATGCAGGATTTTATTAATTAAGGTATATATTGCATATTTCAATATACCACACCATATTTACCTGTAAAGACTAATTATTTAAATAAAAACAGGGCGAAGATGATCTAAGAGAGGATGCGGTAATGCAACAAGTATTCAATATTGTTAACACGTTGCTGGAAAATAATCCTGTCACTAAGAAGAATAAACTTCTGATACGCACATACAAGGTTAGTATTCGACATTTACAATTTTTACATATTTGTAAAAACGAATTATTTCTTGTGGTATTTATTGTTTGTGGATTGTCAGCGCAGTGTGTGTGTTGCAGGTGGTGCCGCTGTCGCGGCGCTCGGGCGTGCTGGGCTGGTGCGAGGACACCACGCCGCTGGGCACTTACTTGGAGGAAGCGCACATCCTCTACAGACCCAAAGTAAACGAATACATTACAATAATGAAATCAGCAAATAACAAACATTATACAAGTTGTTTCTTTTGTAGGATATGAAGCCGGGTGACGCTCGCCGCAAGCTGGAGGCGTGTCGTGTCCACCGCAAGACGAACCGGGAGAAGCTGCGAGTGTTCCGGGAGATCCTCGCCAACTTCAAGCCGGTCTTCCACAACTTCTTCACCGAGTACTACCACGACCCCGTCACCTGGTACGAGCGCAGACTGGCCTACACCAGGAGGTAATACTAGCTGATAAATATTTGTACAATAGGGAATATGCATTCATTTAAATTGCTTTTTATTGGGATCTTTTACTCAAATTGTATAACACGAATTGAAAGGGAACAGGAAACAAAAATATGCATAAACAATAATTTATTTTTCAGTGTTGCCACATCGTCAATGGTTGGATATATTTTAGGTATAGGCGACAGGCATGTTAAGAACATATTGATAGACAAGACAACCGGTGAAGTGATTCACATTGATTTCGGTAAAATTATCAAATTTTACACTATAAAAAATGTTTAATCGACTTATATGAGAACATGTTTTTATTTTATATTTTAGGTATTGCATTCGACCAAGGAATGGCTCTCCCAACACCAGAAACTGTACCCTTCCGTTTGACTCAGGATATTATCTCAGGATTTGGTTGCTGTGGAATTGAAGGAATGTTCAGAAGGTATATTTTTAATTGATAGTTTATTTTATTTTAATGTGAGGAATAAAATAATACGTTTTAATACGAACATTTTGTTAAGAACCTAATTTGATAATGTGTTTTTTGTTGTAGATGTTGCGAGAAGACGTTGCAACTGCTGCGAGACAACCAGGAGACGCTGCTGACCATCCTGCAGGTGCTGCTGTGCGACCCGCTCTACTCCTGGACGGTTAAGGGCGCTCCGAAGGAGGCTGCACAATGTTCGTATCTAGTCAGCTCTACACCTACTGTCTTGCATCGACACATCTATATTTACAGTTTTGATGTCTTCTTAGAAACAGGAGCTTCCTTCAGAAAATCAAAAAAGATATAAAAATATATTAAAAACGTGAAACGTCAAATACTGACAACTCTATCGATACTAGCTTTCGCCCGCGACTCCGTCTGCGTGGAATGTAAAAACAAAAGTGGGTAGCTGATGTGTTCTTCTAGACTATCCTCTACATCTGTGCCAAATTTCCTCGAGATCAATTCAGCGGTTTAAGTTACAACCTCTTACAAACATCCATCCATCCACATAATGTTGTAGATGTATTTTTTACCAACTTCAGCACGTGATAGCCCGTAACTGCTCCATTGGACAGGATAACTGATGGCCATTCGGTTTCATCACAAACTAGTACTATCTAATACTATAATAATAAAGCTTTTGAACTTAAGTTTCGTTATCCTGGTCCTGGGATCTCGATCCATAATATATATGTTTGTTTATCATCCCTTATTGGG